GATCGTTTTTTAGGCTTTAAGCTCGTAACACGCTCCCAGGACGCTTGTAACGATCTTACAAAATCTTGGCGAGCACGTGCACGAGTTCGCCACGAGCTCGTGGCGAACTCGCGGGTAAACTGGGGAGCTCATGGCGAGCTCGTGGATAAAAGAGGGAGCTCGTGGCGAGCTCGTTGGTAAAAGGGGGAGCTCGTGGCGAGCTCGTGGGTAAAAGGGGGAGCTCGTGGCGAGCTCGGGCGTAAACTTGGGAGCTCGTGGGCGAGCTCGGGGATAAACTGGGGAGCTCGTGGCGAGCTCGTGGGTAAAAGGGGGAGTTCGTGGCGAGCTCGGGGTTAAACTGGGGAGCTCGTGGCGAGCTCGGGGGTAAACTCGGGAGCTCGTGGGGAGCTCGTGGGTAAAAGGGGGAGCTCGTGGCGAGCTCGTGGGTAAAAGGGGGAGTTCGTGGCGAGCTCGGGGTTAAACTGGGGAGCTCTTGGCGAGCTCGGGGGTAAACTCGGGAGCTCGTGGGGAGCTCGTGGGTAAAAGGGGGAGCTCGTGGCGAGCTCGTGGGTAAAAGGTGGAGTTCGTGGTGAGCTCGGGGTTAAACTGAGGTTAAACAGCTCCCAGGAAAACAGTTAGGTATACAGTGTGAGTCCCAAAAAAATTTACACCTAGAAAATTGCTAATTATTTTAAAAATTATCTGTGAACAGTAAATTATTTTACATTCTATGAAAGAGTGTTTTATCTTGAATCATTTAGTATCATTTTTGTGTGGTATGTTTGGATGAAGAGGAGGCATTGTATGCGAGAGTGCAAAAATCGACTTGCGCCAAAGTTGCTAATGTGATGTTTGAATAAAACAATTGCGATATGGGTATTATTTCAGTCATTACAGATCAACATAACATCCCAAACAAAATTAATCATGCCACACATATAAAAAATTGAATATAAAATATCAACGAACATTGTTAGTGTGTTTGCTTGTGACTTTGCTTCTGCAAAAAACATATGCAATGCATTTCATTTGATACATTCAATTCATTCTCTCACTCCGCTGATCCCAACATAATACATACTGTAGGCATCACTTTGGCGCAAGTCAATTTTTGCACTTTCACAAACAATGTCTCCTGTTCATCCAAGCGTGAACACATACCACACAAAAGTGATACCAAACGATTTGGAATAAAACACTCTTTCATAAGATGTATAATAATTTACTGTTCATAGATGATTTTTAGAATAATTAGCATTTTTCTAGTTGTAAACTTTTTTTTGACTCACACAGTATACATGTATATGTATTTTAAAGTTCCCTTCAGGATGCCAATTTCTTTTATTTATTCTATTAATATATGTACATGTATTTTTAAAATGTCTTGGGCCAAGGAAAATGAGTTCCTACTTCCTAGTTTCTTGTCTCCATCAGCATCCTTTTTATGTAATTTTTTTTTAAATAAAAAATATTGATCTGAAGATATCTCTCACCTGAAATAATTAAGGTAAACAAATGCATACTTTATTATTTTGATACATTTTTGAGCCTCTTTGTTAGAACGTAAATTGTATATGCAATTACATTGAAAGTTCAGAAAATTTGTGTTGAAATTGAAACAATAGCTTTTTCATGCTGAAGTAACCTGTCAAATTACTTCAGCTTTTTCATGCTGAAGTAACCTGTCAAATTACTTGTAAATTTAATTAAATTCTTTTGAAACTTTGAAACATTTATTTGCAGCATACCAGATTGGGAAGGGGGGGGGTTGCCATTTATTCTGACTGTATCATATATTTAACACCTTGAAATGTCACTATCAGGTATTACATAAGAGCACACACCCAGACCTTGATTCGAGGTCAACTCCCTGTTTCTAACTTGCTCTCTCCTTATGTACATAGGATTCCCCACTGCTAAGACACAAATCTCTATTCCTCTCTTTTCCCCACTCTCACTTTCTTGTTTACTCTCTCTTGTGGAATTACCACTGGTAGCATTCCTGATAAGAATGAATTGATGTGTTAGTTATAGGCCACTTTGGGCAAGTCTTTCTCCATCTTGCTTTTGTAGAGAGCAGACATGGGTTTTGAATGGTATTGCAGCTCCTTTGTTTTAGGTAAGAGAAAAACTAATTCCTCACACCTTATAACTAAATGTTCTACTTGTGTATTTATAGGCCAACAGTTAGGCCTACCTCTCTTATACATTTATGAAAGAGAAGTGTAGAGTAATGATTAATGAGATAAAGTATTTATTCTCTTTCTAGTGAAATATCTTTTCATATATTGGGAAGTTTGTTTCTCTATCTATATAGCACATAGTATATTCACTTCATTAAAGTAACATTAGATATAATCTATGTGATAAGGTTATATTCATGTAAATATTCCTGTATCTTGACTGACAAACCCTATCATTTAGGCAACATGAGAGCACATTAATGCATTTTGTCTGAATACTGAAAACTAGTTTGCTAGCGGATATAAAGAAGGGATTGTTCTAGAGATCCTATAGTATATGTACATGTATCATTACTTGGTACCCTGGGTTGGTGAATACACTGACAAGAAGGGGGATGCTATATAGTTATTGTATGAATACCGCTTTATTAATTTGGATCTTTGTAATATTATGAGTGATTAGAATGATGGAATAATTACCAAAATGGATAATAATATTTCTTCAAAGGCAGAGTATTATACAGTGTAATTACTCACATATTTAATTTCATTATACAATGTAATTATATAATTTGGAAATCATTTATTCATTCATATCGTTGTGTGAAGTTGTGAACACTGCATACAGGTAACATGTATTTTACAGGATTTGTATTGACTCTAATAAAAAGATACTTGTTTTAAGTTATATTTTATGTTATATCTTTTCTTTCTGTACTTTGATATATTAGTGTTTTCATTGATTGATATCCCAGAAGTAATGAGCTTTTAACTTTCCCTTATTCTAAAGAGGATCACTGTATTCTTCACCAGCTTGCCAACTGAATTGTCCCTGCACAGCCAGCCTGCAGATGTTAACAGGATATTGGAAGGTTGATAAGTTAGATAAATATATATGCATACCAATAGCTCAACAGGATCATCAAGTTCACCTCTATATGTAGACACAAATTAGTTCTCAATAGGGACTTTTAGATTTGCACGAAGACAATGTGGATTGCTACGGTCGACGTCCTTTTTATGCACTGCCTTCAATGGACGTCACAGGTTTCAGTCCACGCAAATCTAAAAGTCCCTAATGCCAACATGCTGTTGAGCACGCCATTAAGCTCGCAGCCATTTTTTTCTCCACAAGATTGTCGACGAACTCGTTGACGAGCTTGTCGACGAACTCGTACGAACTCGTTGACGAACTCGTTGACGAACTCGTACGAACTCGTTGACGAGCTTGTCGACGAACTCGTACGAGCTCGTACGAACTCGCCAACGAGCACGCCAACGAGCTCGCCAACGAGCTTATCGACCAGTGACGAGCTGCATATTTGGAGCACGCCAACGAGCTCGCCAACGAGCTCGCGTGCATGCTCGTAGCTAATTTGCATATTTGGAACGAAACGAGCTCGCTGGCGAGTTCGTCTGCGAGTTCGTCGACGAACTCGTGGGCGAGCACGCTGACGAGCTCGCGTGTTAGCGTACTGAAATTTGTATAGGGGATCATCTGTTAAATGAATCCATCAGTTCGGCGAAACTCAATAATAATATTTCTCTAGTATATGAGCCCCATCTGGTCGGCAATGACCTTGTCATGTTATCATCACGATGTCCATGAATGAATGGATGAATGTGGGCGTAGTTCAATATTATGTATGAAATCAATACCAGGAGAGGCTAGCCTTGTAGTGATCATCAACTATTATAATAATCAAGAGGATGATTATTAATCATCCTCTTTAGCAAAGAAAAACTTCCTTACATTGTAAAACATTCTATAAAGCTTCAAAGGGGTTCTATATTTGAGCAATTGTTATATAAATTATATTTGTTCAAAGTATATCATGTTAATAAAAATCATTTAGTTCTACTTAATAATCCTATTGTAGGGGTGATGTAGTAGAGTTGTGTAAAAACTTAACTTAAACACTTTGGAGATACAGCACGTATGTACTTCAGCCAGGAATTTTTATCTACAATGCTTCTCTCCAGCCAGGTAGGATGCAAATGTTAATGTGGTTGGATTGGCATATGTAAAATACTCCTCAGGGAGCAGAGCATGTGCACTATCATGTGCAGATTAGTGATCTAATCCAATGAACAAGGTAATAATAATTACAGCATAAAGCACTTAGGCTTAAGGTATTAAGCGTTATACAAATGTGACTGTTATTACTATCATTATTATCATCATTGTTTAAAGGATGGCTATGCATAAATGGTAAAAGTTTATTGCTTGTTAAAAGTCTGAATTACTAGATTAAAATATTTCTATTGAAAGAAATTCACCTTTTGAAATGATAAATACAGTTATACAGTATACTATGACATAATGACAATGAGTCTAGATACACACTTGATCTAGCTAGAATGTCACATTTTGGAACAATAACTCTTCTAACCTTGATAGAAATACACTGTACTTTCCTTTTGCTAATTCAGAAAATGTCAACCTTTCTCTTTGCACTTCCTAATTTGCAACATGTTTAAAAGATCCAAACAGTGGTGCAACATGTCTACACCCCCTGCAATTTCTTAATATAGTAAGGCAGATTTTTGGAAGCTTAACCGTGATGACAGATCTGACATTTGGCCTGATGGGGAGGTCAACAGGGGCACATAATACTCTTTCCCCAAGCAAAACCTTCTACAATCAACCTCGCATAAGTCAAGCTTTGTAAATAAATGAAATTTTACCTCAACGTTGCCCCTTTGTATGTTATCATGGTGATCTATGTGCTCCTAAAGCAGTTTTCATACTTTTCATTCTATCAAAAGGGCATTCACTAGAGGTTTTACTGCCTCAAGTGAAGAATAAAAATGCTTATAATGTAAAATGCTGCTTACCGGCTTTGAGATGTGTCCTGTTAGACCTTGGGTTGAAGTGTGGTTTGAACCTGAAGGAATCTCCCTCTCCGCTATCTTCTGAGAAGGTTGGACTCCTGAGTGAAGGACTACGCAGACCTGGCTGAAGACTTACTAAGCGTTTCTTCTTCTTGTTGGAGTTATTATTCTCTGACATCAACAGTTGCAGTCCATCTCTCTGTGGTGTTGATTGCTTTACCCTAGAGAAGACAGCGCCGTCTAGTTCATCCGATGATCCGATGGGTGAGAGCAGTCTACCGTCCGGTGATGTTGGCCCTAAATCACTACACTCAATGTCTGAGCTTGCCCCCATAGGCTCTCCATCACTACCAAAGTCAGCATTCGCCAATTCCACGGCAAGATTCTCTACATAATCCTCCTCTTCTTCGCTATCGGCATAGCTTGATCCCATCTCTGGCTTCTTACGGGCGACCACAAGGTGTACAGTGCTCTTCTCGACCTGCCGTAAGACATCCATAGCCTTGGAGTGTGTGATACCGACCATGCAGTTACCGCTGACGTCTAAGAGTTGGTCTCCGGGTCGAACTCTGCCAATTCGCTGGGTAGCGGAGCTAGGGGCTACACCACTCACATAGATACAGCCCTCTGGTGTGTCCGAACCACCACAGATCTCAATACCTAATGGCTCCCCAGGAATCCGGTCAATCTGTAGACACAAGAAAACAAATCACAACTATGTTCAAAGTAAATGAGATTAATGATAGTTAAGGTCTAAGTCCATCACTGACATTGAAAAGATATATGATAACATTGTGTCATAGATCACTCAGATTGATAACATGCAAATATATTCAAATTCAAATGTGAGATGATAACATTTTGTAGTCATAAAAGATAACAGGGGAAGATATCAATCCAATGGTACCAAGTTGAATAACATGTTATTTTTGTTGTTGTAATTATGTGAACATTCTCAAACCAGATATATTGCCAGAAAACATCTGAGTACGGTAGGCACAAAGTTGGAAAATCAATGCTGGCTTTCAGTAAATGCTTTTTGTGAAGTGTGGAATCATATCCAAGATTTACCTTCTCCTCATCTTCCATAGGGACACACATATGTCTCATGATGTCCTGCCTATAATGCATATCATAGACATCACTTAGAAATCGAAACAAGAGTGGATTAATGTGTGCATCCAACATCTTTCACAACTTTCTCGTCTGTAACACACAGAAAAAGCGACTCAAACAACCACGATATTTCCCTTGATGAACCTGACCGAATTCACACTGTTCTCCTCTTGGTCGTATAACTGAACAATAAATGGTTCATGTTCAGGATACATCCAGTACAGGGTAACTTTGAGTTGGGAGAAAGTCTCTTAAAATAGAATCTGATCTCTAGAACAATGATGGGAAGTCCCTCCGCAGTACAAATATCACAATTCACACACCAAAACAGGAAAAGTGGGAGATTTATCTATCATAGCAGTTAAGTGGTTTTATTGTTTTTGTTCCAAGTGCACAGCGGAAAACAGAACTAGCACAGGCACGTGTGTCAACTTCAAGTCAACAGATATTGGGAAATTTCTGAACAGGATGAAAGTATATATGAAGATATTTGTCAACAGACTCAATACATGTATATCTCTACCGAGAAGTATGCAAGACTTCCATGAAGCTCTATAGTATAATCTGATAATGGGACTTGCACTGTAATACAGAGAAAATGTATTCAATAAAACTTAGACACAATATGAACACAGGGTGATCCATAGAACATGAGTAATCCATGACCATGTCATTTTAAAACAAATATCTCAGTCTATATATTTGCCAAGTATTGGTTTGCAGAAACATGGGCTCTATGTGTTAAACAATCATGTCTCAATACTGGCAAGAAGCCAAATCTTTCAAATTGCAAGGACATATACATGTCACATGTCTCTCCTATCAAATTGTCAGGGGAATTCAAAACCTCAGAACATAAATAGGTGAAGTATACAGATTTAAGTAGGAAGTGCTGCATGAACATAATTGATTTCAACAAAAGTGCAAAAATAAGCCTTTGAATTAATATATAAGTAATATGACTTTATTTTCCCAAATGAATATCCAAATCTTAGACAAATACGAGAAAATAACAAGAAAACAGAACTTACACACCAGCAAGCAACCATTCCAACAGAATAGGCATGTATGTAATCCCCCCTTTTTTTGGTAGGGGGGGGGGGGGGGGGGGTGCTCTATCACAAGTGGTTGTGACAATGAAGTCTTTTCTCTTTTCTCTTTAGCTATTCATTAGCGTTCATTGACAGGAATTCAGCACACAAAGGGTCAGGAGCTTATGGCTTGACAATTCTTTTCTTGCATTGACTGGCTGGAACATTGGTGGTTATAGAACATGATTACATCTGTTTGGAGCCAGAAGGTAAAACTCTTTGTTAGAGCATATGAGTGAATGACCTTCCAGCTCCAACAGACTATTCAAAGCTTTGAACTGAAGCACCAAATTCAGCGAAGCATTACAATACTGAGCCACCAAACAAGAATGGTGTCATTATACTGATCATGCGACCACAATTCAATTCAAAGAATGTGGGACAACTAATATCATCCTCTGTATCTTTAATTACACCTATAGCAAATAAATATATTTTAGTCAAAATAGAATTTACCCCTTCCACCATGCTGTATACATTTTGTACGCTGATCTTTGATAATTGTATGATACCACAGGACCATTATGTCATTGGAGCTGGCAAATTCACCAGATGGATTGTAAATCACAATTTCAAGTAGAAACCAAAAGGCTTGCTATAAATTACACCATCTCAGAGATCAATTTCCTTCTCTGCAACTAGAAGCCTTGAATGTGTTGATTTTCATAATTTCATTTTTCATTTAACCAAGTCTCTTCTATTTCACACCATCTGTTCTTCTTTTATCATTACTCTTGGATCACAACACTTTTTGCATTATTTTACAATTTTCAAATACTTAAATAATGATAATAAAATATGAAAACAATATACTATTGATTAAAAAAAAAGAAGATGACAGAAATAATTTAGAAGAAAAAACATTAAACTGAGATAATTATGGCTCCTTGCACCAAATAACAATTGTCAGTTATAATTTCTAGATTTTCTTCCATGAAACCAGGTTTACCAAAAACCAATAATTACAGTTCCAGCTACCTTTAATAACACAACTATATAAACAAAACTCCTCAGTCAGTCATTCTGCTGGGAGTATAGCTTTTTCCATTTGGAAAAAATATATATTGGAGAACCAGACCCTACGTGATCAAGCTTGCATAATACATGTATGTGGATGGAATATAAATAACATCATTTAATCCCATGAAGCTCAAAAGGCCCGTCCTCACTATCTCGAGATTGCCAAATATCCAGCTATTTGAACTATCCCGATCGCAAACTATCCAGCTAATTTGCATCTTCATCAGACCGAAGTAGCAATTAGAAGGATATTTGGTCAGGATTGTCATCCCAAGATATCTTGGGACAGTTTGCAAAATATCCAGCTAATTTGTCCCGTGCGTCTTCACTAGACCGAAAATTCGCAATACATGCTAACGCTGAGCAAAATATCTCAAGCTAATTTCTCAAGTTCGAGTTTCAAGTTTCGAGGTCGAATCTCGAGATAGTGAAGATGCGATTTGTTACTTCGGGATTATTTCCCAAATCAGAAATAGCGGGCTATTTGGCAATCTCTAGATGATGAAGATGCGCCTACTGAGAAAAATATGTACATTGTGGTTAACAGAAATCATGTGGCGCTAAACACACACTCTGATATTAAAATAGGAATGTAGCTGAACCCGAAGTACATATTGACCCTGTAGTTATTCCTTAAACTTCCTCTGTGCTACCAAGTTTTTGACTGATTCAACTTTCAGAAGTTAGTTTCGGCCTACCTTTTATTCTAATGTTAAATTGGATAAGAAAGATCTTTCACTGGAATACATTATGGAGAAGGCACTTTAATTGTTCTGTTTCAGAGAGAGCCAGAAAAATGAAGCCATTCGTCTTATATTTATATATATCGCCACCGCAATAAAGGATTCAAATAATGATAGGATTTTTTTTTAAAACCATCCTAGAAATCTAATTACAAATAGAATCTTCTGCTGAAAGCAATAATGGTGATAATAGTAGCACACAGATATAGAGCTTACACTGTTGTAATGGAAAATATACATGTAATTTCTCTCAGCAGTCCAATAATCGAAATAAAATAAAAAAATCAAATCAATGTATGTTTTATAGTTCGAAGATATGAGGAAAAAAATGAAAACAACTGGCTTTAAAAGATGTTGACCATGATTCAAATTAAATAATGATTATATTGAAGATTTAAATTCCTGTTATAATGAACCAAACCAAAATCAACACAATGTGCAAGGTACAGTGCTTAAATCACTCTCACCAAGAATAAGTGCAAATTATATTTGTGAACCCCATACCATTAAAAATATAACATGTTAAGATCTTGGTTATCAACTTAGTCTTCTAATGAACGTTAGGAGCACACTTGTAAAATGACTGCATACCAAGTGCAAAAGATGTGACCTCATTATTATAATTGAAAACAAATGAAAACAACTGTTGTCACTTACCAATTCTTACTTCTATTGCAAGAAGAAAAGAAAAAGGTCAGAGAAAAAAAACACCATTATTCTATCACTTTCAATATAACTGTTTTTGTATAATACCCTGAAGCTGGAATTAATCCATTTGTTTGTTTTTCTTGCCATACAACAAGAAAATCTTTGGGTATTTCTTGATGATGAAGAAAATAAATCTTGGTTTGAAATACCACACAAACATCATATCAATCTTGGCAACAAGTTGAAAACAAAAGCAAAGACAAACAAAATGAATTAAATTGTAACCGGCTAAATAGATGGACCAATTATAAAGGTCTTTCATATCTCAATGATCTCATACTGTCTTGTAAAATCTCTGTTAAAGGCTTATGAAATGTTTGAAATCATTCATTACCAAGTACCAACATCATTCATTACCAAGTACCAACATCATTCATATTCCTTGATAGGAGAGCAAACCTTTAATAGAACCAGTCTGTCTTTCTGCTTCAAAATCTTTATCTTTTTATCATTCTCTTTCTTTGTTTCTTACTTCCTTATTCCCTTCTCTCTGTATTCTTCTCTCTCTCCCCCTCTGTCTCTCTCTCTACCCTCTCCATTCTGTCTTTCTACCACATTTACTTTCTCTGTCTGTTTGTCTGTCCGTCTCTTTCTCTCTCTCTCTTCCCCCTCTCTTCCCCTCAACCTCTCCCCCTCTCTCTCTCTTTTTCTCTTCCTCCTACACAGAACTATCTCCCTTTCTCCTCTCCAAGAAATTTAATTTGCCAATGCCAACAGCTGTGCAGCACCCAGTCCCTTTTGTCAATATTACCTAGCTACCGATGAAATCTAGCAATCAGGGATGGCATTTTACAGGAGAATCTATACCGTAGGCAAAATTTACTAGGTCCCATACAAAAAAAAAGCTTCCTGAAAAAGGGGAATGAACTCAGCTGGCAAATGTTGGGCAAACATACTTGGTATTTCGCAGCTTTTTCTGAGAGAATGCACAATTAACATTCCTGTAGGGCCTATAGTTGTAAGCATCAGCGGTACCCAAAAGTAGGCTTTGGGGGAAGTGGATTCGTCCA